TGCCAGAGAGCATCACTACAACACTCATCATCCACACATCAACATGTCTTCCACTGTCAAACAGCCTTTATGGTCAGGAAGTTCTTCCTAATTTTTAGGTGGAATCTCTTTTCCTGAACTTTGCATCCATTGAGGCTCCATTGTGTCTTATTCTCTGGAGCAGCAGAAAACAAGCTTCCTCCATCCTCAGTAGGGCACTCCTTTAAATACTTAAACAGGTCTACCTCTTTATTTTCTCTTCTCCATGCTAAACATACCCAGCTCCCCAAGTCTCTCCTCAGAGGGCTTTGTGGTTTTTCACGACCCTTCTTTAGACAAACTCCAGATTCTCAACATCCTTTTTGAATTGTGATGCCCAGAACTGGACATTGCATTATTCCAGGTGGGGTCTGACCAAAGAAGAATACAGTGGCACTATGACTTCCCTTGATCTAGACACTATACTTCTATTGATGCAGCCTAGGATCACATTGGCCTTTTTAGCTGCTGCGTCACACTCTTGACTCATGTTCAACTTTAATCAAAAAATAATTAAATATTAAATGTTAAAGCTTGCTCCATCTTCAATATGACATCCCTTCATATACTTAAACAGGGCTATCATATTAAGCATCTCTTCCCCTGGCTAAACATATCCAGTTCTATAGGGCTTTATGGTTTCCAGAACCTTCACCATTTTAGTCCTCCTCCTCTGGACACAACAGTTTCTGGCAGTTGCTGTCTAAACATATTATTATTATTATTATTATTATTATTATTATTATTATTAATTATTATTTTCCTCTGGGTGGCTTACAATATTAAAAAACAGTGCATACAAAAATGGTATATTAAGATAGAATTACATTATTACGGTATAAAAACATATTGCATGTTTTAAAAAAAAGGTTAAAAGGCATAGGATTGGGGGCTTCAGATGGCAAATGAAGACTTTAATTAATTTTAATTAATAGAAGGCAAAAGATATTGTAAAACTACAAATCCCTTATGTGTTCTCAGCACACATTCAGCTGATATATTTGGGTGCTTTCCAAAATAATCTAAATTTGAAGCCGGAGGAGAGCGATCGATATATTGATCGTTCAAAGATCAGCATTTTTTTGCTGCGAAAAAATTAAACATTTGCAGGAAAGGATTCGGCAAAGAGACTTTGAGCCTCTGAGATGGAAAAGGAGAAAGGAAAGGAAAGGAAAAAGGAAAATAAAGTCCTGGGTGTTTAATATCCTGATTCCCATTTTGCACAAAATCAGAAGTCAGTGTGTAAGTGTGTGTTTGTGTGAGATCTCCTTGTCAGGTTTGTATATAGCTTTTAGTACATTTTAATGTTTTAAATGCATCGTTGTTTTAACTTTTTAATTTTTCAAATTGCTTTTGAGACTTTCTCATTTTTAAATGCTTTTGTATTACGTTTAAATTGTTTGTAGTTCTTGTTGTAGTTCTTGTTGTTGTGTGTCTTTGTTTCTGACTTATGGCAACCTATCATGGGATTTTCTTGGCGAGTTTCTTCATGGCCATCCTCTGAGGCTGAGAGAGTGTGACTCACCCAAGGTGATCTAGTAGGCTTGCAGGGCTGAGCGGGGATTTGAACCCTGGTCCCAACACTCAAACCACTATGCCACACTGGCTCTTAAATGGTTTCAAATTAAAAAAGACAACAATGCTGGGTGGCCTTGGGCAAGTCACACTCTCTCAGTCTCAGGGGAAGGCAATGATGGCAAATCTGCTCTGATGAAATCTGGCCAAGGAAACCCCATGATAATAGGTTTGCCTTGGGGTAACCATATGTCAATTTTAAACCCCCCTCCATGGCCTTAAAAACAGCTCCAGGGGTCCTAAGAGTGTGCCTTTTGTTTCTGAAATTCGTAATTTCATTGTGATGAGTGAAATTGTAACAGTGAGTCAATACTTTCCCCCAAAAAATAGACTTTAGGACTTTGATCTGACTATATATATATATATATATATATATGCCTTCAAGTTGCTTGCCTACTTAGAAAAGGAGGATGCATCTGGTCACCCCCCCCTAGATGGAGGACATTTTGGACTTCTTCCTGGACCAAAGGTTGAAATGGAGGACATGTCCTGGAAAAGGAGGACATCCGGTCACCCTGGCTTTCAGTCCACTCACCATATTGTTCCCTACATCTTCTAATTCTAGGTTTTCCCCCCATTTATATTTATGAATATCATGATATATATATATTAATATTGATACTAATATTAGAATATTAAGTTGTATTATATATATATATATATATATATATATATATATAAAACAGTACTTATTGACTATTTCCCAATCTTTCTCGGTCTCTTCTGATTTTTCCCTGATTTAAGTTTGTTAAAGGGCCCATTTCAGCTATGTCTTGTAATATTTTTTTTTAAATTATTGATTAAAATTTAAAATACACATTCATTCAATACATAGCCGATACATATTAAACACTTGTTGCTAAATAATCTTACTGTATCAAGCCATCGTAACATATATTCCAAATATAGTCCAAATAAATCTAGGCATTTCAAGGCAAGGAGGAGTGTCTTAAGTTATCTCAATATATCAATTAATAATTGTGCAATTGTACTTCCTTCTATACCATTATATTCTCCTCCATTCCAGCCCTTTTTCCATCATTTTCATCCTTTGTTCCCTTTCCTTATCTTTCTTCCCTATTCTCTACTCATCACTATCTACCTTCATCCTTTCTTATTAAACTACCCCTTCTTCACTTTCATTCTTTATCCTTTCTGGATAATTAAACTTTATGACTAAATTGAAATTACACAATTTTTAAGAGCTAACACTATTGAAAATGGAAACAACAAATGGATCCCAATATTGAAATATTTTAAAGAGCAGTGGGGAAACCTAGCCATAATTAGCTATGAAGGACTTAGAAAGAAAGGAACAGGGAAAGTTTATAATTTGAGCGTAGCAAGAATTAGACAATAAGATTTAAATTAGAGTATAGATATTTAAGGAAGTATAGATATTTAAGGAAATGGTACAAAAGTAAAGAAGAAATTAAAAGAAATTGGACAGGGATATTGGAACCAAACCTTACGACGATTTACCTACTATTTCAAAGGATATAATCTATATATTATAATATTATAATATATATAATTATAATATATTATAATATATATTATAATACATAATATATAATATTATAATTTATAATAATTATAATATTATATATATATATATACATTATATATATATATATATATATATATATATATATATATAAAATATTGAGATATTGAGATATATATATTAAGAAAGCATCAAGGAAATGATATAAAGATACTAAAATGTTAAATGTCACTGTTTTAATTGAGTTTGATTTAATAACTTTTTAAGGGGGAGGAGGGAATTACATTGTTTTAAATTGTATGTATTTTATTGTTGTTCACCGCCCTGATTGGTTTGCCATAGGGCGGTATACAAATAAAATGTATTATTATTACTAAAAGCAAGAAATAATAATATGTAGTACACAGAACTAAGATTAAGAAGTAGGGTTATAAACACAAATGGACCAAAATATAGAAAAGAAACAATTTATTAACAACTGATAGGGATAAGAAGGTCATCATACAATACCGGATAATCCAGGAGTCTTCCTGCGGTGATCATGTACAGTATTTTCTCCCAATGTTGTTTTATCCAGTTTTTATTTGGGTATTTTATTAATCATATTTAGGAGATATATTTCTGGAGTCCTTTCTAATTCTAGTTTTGTCTGCTCTAGAATAATCCAGAATGACCAAAGACTACCAAGACGTTACATCTGTCGAAACCGAGGACGAAGGAGATTTGCCGGTCAGAACAGGTAATAATAATAATAATAATAATAATAATAATAATAATAATAATAATAATAATAATAATTTATTTCTTACCCGCCTCTCTCCTTGCGGCTCAAGGTGAGTTACAACATAGTTAAAAACACAATTCTTACATAATACACACATATTAAAAAATGCAACTCTACACAATATTTATATTAAAATACATAAAACAATTATCAAGTATAAAATTCATGTTTAAAAGGTAGCTGCCTTCTTGCATAGATCATAAAAAAAAATTTATGGGGTGGGTGAGCATCGCAGGGGGCTTGCCATGGCCATCCTCTGAGGCTGAGAGAGTGTGACTTGCCTAAGGTCATGTCATGGATGCTTGAGTCTATGGTGTCCATGCAAATTCATTTAGGCTTTGCATATGATTTTGCAATTAAAAGGTAAAAAATTTTAAATTTGCTAGTTGTTTATGTCACAACTATAGAGAGCCAGAGTGGCATAGTGGTTTGAACGTTGGACCATGACTCGAGTCCAGGGTTCGATTCCCTGCTCGAGCATAAAAAACCTGCTGAGTGATCTTGGCCAAGTCACATTCTCTCAGCCTCAGAGAGTGGCAGTGGTCAACTCACTCTGAAGAAACTTGCCTAGGAAACTATGATAGGTCCTCCTTAGTGTCGCCGTAAGTGGAGGCACACAACAACCATGATGCACCCTGAGGCTGAGAGAGTGGGACTTGGCCAAGGTTTCCAGTGGGTTGGTTTCCAGGTCTGAGCAGGGATTTGAAGCTGGGTCTCCCAGAGTCCTGGTCCATCATTTATACCACTGACTGCCTTTCCTGGAAAGGATACTTCAGAGGTTGTTTGCCATGGCCTTCCTCTGAGGCTGAGAGAGTGTGACTCCAATGCAGGATTTCTTGTTAACTCTGCCGTCTCTCTTGGCCTTGTAGATTTTGCCCCACGCCAGTCATGGGGGCGACGTATCTGCTCCGGACGCCGCCTGATCCTGGTCCTTTTGGGACTCCTTTGCACCCTTGTCATCACAATGGTTGCCTTTGGCTTCAGTGGTGAGTGCGAAACACTCCTGGTGTGAGAGTGCAGCAAAGCAAAGCAAAGCAAAGCAGTGAGGACAGAGGCAGACCCTTCAGCAGCAGGGATATTGCTCTGACTGTCTATGGATGGGGTGTGTGGGAAAATATAGGATACATAGGAAAAATAGAGGATATATAGGAAAATATAGGAAAAAAGTGGATGTGTGGGATGCTTTGGCTGGGCAGGGAATCCACTCTGGATTTTATTCTGAACTTCCAAGGTGCTTTCCAAGATGCTGAATCCATTGTTGTTGTTGTTGTTGTTGTTGTTTTCCTTTCAAGGCTGAAGGCAGAGTACAACATGTAATAATAATAATAATAATAATAATAATAATAATAATAATAATAATAATGTTAAAATACAAAACACAAATGGAAAGGCTCTCTATAATAGATTACTGGAGCTATTTAAGGAAGGATTGTAGTAATTAAAAAGGGGTCACTCACCTATATATATATATATATATATATATATATATAGGTGGATGACCCCTATTTAATTACTTTTTAATTACTAAAGGGGTCCCAACCTATATATATATATATTGGTGGGTGATCCCTTTTTAATTACTTTTTAATTACTAAAGTAATATATAAATTACTAAAGGGGTCATCTATATATCTATCTATCTATCTATCTATCTACAGGTATATATTTGTAGGTGATCCCTTTTTAATTATTTTAATATTATTTTAATATATATTATATATATTTATATATTTAATATATATATAATATATTTTAATATATATATAAAGGGGTCACCAACCTATATATATATATGTATATATTGATGAGTGACCCTTTTTAATTACTTTTTAATTACTAAAGGGGTTACCAATCTCTCTCTCTCTCTCTCTATATATATATATATGTATATATTGGTGGATGATCCCTTTTTAATTACTAAAGGGATCACCAACATATATATATATATATAGTTTTGTTTCCTGTGCACGTAGGAAGCTATTAACTGACATTGCAAGGGATCTTTCTTTCCCATGCAAGTAGGAAGGCGCACAACAACAACAACAACAGCAACAGAAATGTTTAATAGATAACCAAATCAATATTGGTACATCCTTCCTAATGGGGAGGATTGTGATTTATATAAGAGACACATTTCACTCTGCCCTTGTATTTAATGGGCCTTGAGTATCGATGTGAGAAAATGGACTAGCTGTTATTCAATGACATTGGCACCACTTTTCCTTTTTCCAGGGCGCAAGATTGATGCCGATTTATCAGAAATGCAGGAAAGTCTCAAAAGCATCAACCGCACAGTCTTCTTGGAGTTAGCTGCTCTGAAGGAAAAGGGTAAACCAAGGAAGGAATGGCTTTTGGGGGGCACTTTTGGGACCCAATCCTGTTTTTGCAGGGAGGTGGCTATTCTAAGCAGTGGCAAAAATATTGGGGAAATTGGGGGTGATGGGGGTAAGAAGAGTAGGGCACTTTTGTGGGCTCCAGCTTTCTCCCAAAGCTTAGAAAAGTTTGTTTTTGGGGCCCAGATCCTAAGTGCATCCCTGTGCATTATTAGCACAAAAGGCCAATAGTAGTGTTGCAATGCAGTGACTGCATAGCTAACTGGCTTTGGACTACAACTCCCCCAATCAGATTTGGGAGCTGTAGTCCAAGAAGTAACCTTTCCAAACTTTCAAATGGTCCTTTTTCTTCATCAGAGGCTGCTGGAGAATTAATGCTGTTTGACACCGCTTTGACAGCCATGGTTCCACCCTATGGGATCCTGGGATTTTTAGTTTTACAAGGTCTTTTGACTTCTCTGCCAAAATGGGTCACAGAACTACAGGTCTCAGGATTCTTTACGAGAAATATCTATTCAGTCTCCTTAAGGAGTTAAAGTGGTGTCAAACTGCACTATTTCCCCAGTGTAGATGCACCCTTAGTAACTTTCCAAGCTGCGAAAAGGAAGCAATAGACTTCCTTGGATGTCCCTTCTCTAATCCTCACTTATTTATTCTTTTTGTGCCAACTCCAGAAGCAAATGAGGGAAAGGTGTTCACAAAGATGAATGCGATGGCGAAAAACCTGACTGAGGAGGTGAAGGAAGGTAGGTGCAATGTGGATTTTGGGTCCAAGTGTACATGGTTTGAGACGGTTGTCATTTTTAACCCTTGCTTTTAAAGTGGTTTTCATTGCCCATGTGCTTAATAAATTTTTCTCATGCTCAAATTGCTTATGCTTTTAGTCTGGAGATGTTTTAAATTAATTTATATTGGAGACATTGTGGTCCTGGGATGGAAGCGTGTTACAGGTTGAGAGTCTCCTTTCTCCGAAATGCTTGGGAACAAAAGTTTGTTGGATTTTGGATTATTCCAGATTTTGGAATCTTTCCATATATATATATATATATATATATATATATATATATATATAATATCTTGGAGATGGAACCCAAGTCTCAACATGACATTCATTTATGTTTCATATACCTTTTATACACATAGCCTGAAGGTCATTGTACACACAATATTTGTAATAATTTTTTGCATGAAATAAAGTTTGTGTCCATTGAACCAGCAGAAAGCAAAGGTGTCACTCTCTCAGCCACACATGTGGACAGTTTTGGATTTTGGAGTCCATTTGGACCTCCATATCCACAGATTGTTTACCCAAGGATTCAACTATCCATGTCTTAAAAATATTGTCATATATATATATATATATATATATATATTGCAAAAAGCAAACCTTGATTTTGCCATTTATTTAAGAGTCACCATTTCACTATGCCATTGTATTTAAAGCGATTTGAGCATCCATGGATTTTGGTATCCATGGGGGTCCTGGAACCAAACCTCAACAGATACAAAGGGACCACTATACTATGTAGTTATGCATTTGTAAATAAGTAGCCATTGTACAATATAGGATGATACTACTACAATAGTAATACTATCTACAATAGTACTATCTACAATAGTACAATAGTGGGTCCTCCATATCCAGAGATTCTTCATCCATGGATTCAAACATCCATGGCTTGAATATATTATATGTATGTGTATATATGTAACTCCTGGTTTTGCTTTTTATGTAAGGGAAACCATTATTACTATGCCATTGTGTTTAATAGGACTTGGGCATCCATGGATTTTGGTATCCATGGGGTGTGTGTGTGTCTTGGAACTAAACCAAGGACCCATTGTATTTTGGATTTTGGAATTCTGGGTAAGGGAGACTCAACCTGTATTATTATTATTATTATTATTATTATTATTATTAAAGTCAGCCCTCTGTATCCACAGATTCTTTATCTACTCATTCAACCATCTTCAGATAGAAAATATTTTAAAATATATAAATTCCGAAAAGGAGGCTTTGATTTTGCTATTTTATACAAGGGACGCCATTTTACTCTAATAGGACTGGAGCATCCACAGATTTTGGTATTCATGGCGGGTCCTTGGCACCAAACCCCTCAGTGGATACCAAGGGCCCATAGTGTTTTGCATTTTGGAATTTCGGATAAGGGAGACTCAACTTGTATTATTATTATTATTATTATTATTATTACTATTATTATTAGTATTATTCATTCTTTTTTTTACCGCTGGGAGCGACAGAAACAGTGCATGAGGTTTATGAGAATTCTTTGCAATTATCCTCTATCTTTTTATCCTCTGTCTAGCAAAGACCCATTTTGAGGACCACATCTCCAAGTTGCAGACCGCTTTCCTCAAGCTGAATTGTGAACTGGAGGATACGAAACACAATCGATCAGGTCAGGAGCTGGAAGGGATCTCTCTCTGCAGGAACAGAGAAGAAAGGGTTGACCAGTCCCTTCCTTTGGCTTTATTCTTATTTTCAATGGCGCTGGGTCCCCAAGAACAGTCTCCTTGGATGCCTTCTAACCATCTGCCCAAGATCTTGCACCGAGGGCAATTCTAAATAGCTTTAGGTGCACAGAATTTAGCACAGAATTTCACGGCAGTTGCGCAATGTCTTCTTCTTGGTGAATTGTAGGAATGGGGGAAAAAATAATAGTTTAGGGATTATAGAGAGTGTCAAAGAGGGCAGGCAGCAACTTAGGGCTTTGAGTTATAGATAGTAAGGAGGCTGTAAGAAATAGTGTACGGTAGTTGGCCCTCTGTATTCATGCATTCTTTAGCCATAGATTCAACCATCCGCAGCCTAAAAATATTCAAAAACATTATAAATTCCAAAAGCAAATCTTGTTTTTCCCATTTTATATCATCATCATCATCATCATCATCATCATCATATATAATGGGACTGGAGCATCCATGGATTTTGGTATCTACAGGGGATCCTGGTACCAAATGCCAACGGATACCAAGAGTCCACTATAGTAATAGTAATAATAATAATAATAATAATGCCCCATTATATATAATGGGACATGAGCATCCATGGATTTTGGTACCCACAGAGGATCCTGGAACCAAATGCCAATGGATATCAAGGGCCCACTGTAGTAGCAGTAATAA